TGTCGCTGGATTAGTCAATGTTTGAGGAACTTCTTCCAACTTCCTCTGAACGACCAACACTGTCGAGGCGATACAGAATCATTGAAACTGTCGATTCAAACTAAAACAGTCTACTAACGCCAGAGCTTTTAACAAATTTCAAATTCGATGATCATGTCTATTCTATCGTTTCTATATAATTGACCTGTTCGACTAGATTGTACAAGTTTATATTTCTCAAATAATTGTCTTTATTGAGGCTATCAACAATCTAGCTGCCTTGTTATCTGAAGTCCGCTCATATAATAAAACACTTCATGATAAAACGATAGTGGATAAATTAAAAAGCCTATGTATACATTTATAAGAAGTACCAAGATCCTTTGTATGTAAAACACGAGAATAAGGTTTAAACAAACGACAAAACTTGACTTTTAGTAATATATAAGCCTTTTCACACCATATTTGAGTAAACATATAACATATTTATCTGAAAGTTTATCGATATAAACATGAACTTTTTTTTACCTAAGCGGCATTTATATGTACCGGTAGACAATGTCGTATTGATGTACAAGAAATCTTATATACCAACAAAAACGAATCAATACAAGACGATTCATCGGAATATGAGGCTACTAGATGTAAAAAGGAAAGAACAAAAGGACAAGGTTTAATCTACCAATAGTCCCGTTTTGTTAGTTGCTATTTTCAAACGATTTGGCACAGTTCTAACCAAGGAGTTCATAGGCGGATCCAGGGGGGGGGGGGGGGACCCGGGCCCCCCCTTTCGTGGAAAAAATTTGGTTGATTATATAGGGAATCACTGAAGCATGACTGGAGCGGCCCCCCCCCCCCCCCCCCTTTAGGTCAGTCAGCGCCCCCCTCCCCCCTTATGAAAAGTTCTGGATCCGCCACTGGAGTTTAATATACGAATAGCTTGTACTTTAACAAAATATTTATATAAATATAGGGCTCATTAGAAACTCGAGTGCTCATTCCTTCGGGAGAATTATTCATAGTTTATCCCGAAGTCAATAATTTCATTTGACTGATAACATCGGAAGATCATTCACCAAGACACCATAGTTCTTCCAGTTTAACAGAATACATTAGAAACACCCCTCAAACACTCAAAAAGAAGAAGAAAAAGACATCTAGACATTATTTCAGCAGCTGACATAACATATTACTCAACAGTTGACACCAGACATCATCACTCAGATAACACCATATATCGACCATCCAACAACACGAGACAGCACTCAGCAGCTGACACAAAATAATACTCACCATATGACATCAGATGAAACCATACACGACCCATCCAACGACACTAGACACCATTCAGCAGCTGACACAAAACATTACTCAACAGATGACAACAAACGCCATTCCTCAGATCACACCATTCATAAGAAGACAACACGCAGTAGCGAACACAAAATATAACTTAACGGATAACACCATACATTACCCATTCAATGACCCCATACACTATTCACCAGATGACACCAGACATCAACTCTCAAATGAAATAATACATTACCCATCGACGACACAAGACATCATTTAGCAGTTGAAACTTAACATTACTCAACAGATGACAGACATCATCCTTCGGGTGACACCATATATTATCCATCTGATGACACATGACATCATTCAGCAGCTGACACAAAACAAAAGTCAATGAATGACATCAGACATTATCCCTTATATGACACCAATCATTTCCAATCCGATGACATCAAACATCATTCACCAGCTGACACAAAACATTACTAAACAAATAACATCAAACACCACGCATTAACCATCAGATGACACGTAATATCATTCAGCAGTTGACACCAGGCATATTTTGATAGATGACATTATACATTACTTATCAGATAACATCAGCCATAACTCCTCCGGTGACATTCATTAAACATCAGATGACATCAGATATCTTCATCAAATAACACAATACATTATCCATTAAATGACACCAGACATAATCAGCAGATGACACCATGCATGATCCCATCAGATGACACCAGACATAACTCTTTAGATGACCAAACATCATTCAGAAGTTTACACCATGTATTTCCTATCAGATGACTACAGATATAACTTTTTAGATGACACAAACATCATTCAGAAGATTACACCATGTATTTACCCATCAGATGACACCAGACATAACTCCTTAAATGACACCAAACATCATTCAGCAGATTACACCATGTATTTCCTATCAGATGACTACAGATATAACTTTTTAGATGACAAAAACACCATGTATTTCCCATCAGAAGATACCAGACATAACTCCTTAGATTACATCAAACATCATTCAGCAGTTTACGCCATGCATTTCCCCTCAGATGACACCAAACGTCATTCAGCAGTTTACAACATGCATTTCCCATCAGATGACACCAGACATGACTCCTTAAATGACAACAAACATCATTCAACAGTTTACACCATGCATTTCCCCATCTGATGACACCAGATATAACTCCTTAGATGAAAACAAACATCATTCAACAGTTTACACCATGCATTTCCCCATCTGATGACACCAGGTATAACTCCTTAGATGAAAACAACATCATTCAACAGTTTACACCATGTATTTACCCATCAGATGACACCAGACATAACTCCTTAAATAACACCAAACATCATTCAGCAGTTTACACCATGTATTTCCTATCAGATGACTACAGATATTACTTTTAAGATGACACAAACATCGTTCAGCAGTTTACACCATGTATTTCCCATCAGAAGATACCAGACACCACTCCTTAGATTACATCAAACATCATTCAGCAGTTTACACCATGTATTTCCTATCAGATGACTACAGATATAACTTTTTAGATGACACAAACATCATTCAGAAGATTACACCATGTATTTACCCATCAGATGACACCAGACATAACTCCTTAAATGACACCAAACATCATTCAGCAGATTACACCATGTATTTCCTATCAGATGACTACAGATATAACTTTTTAGATGACAAAAACACCATGTATTTCCCATCAGAAGATACCAGACATAACTCCTTAGATTACATCAAACATCATTCAGCAGTTTACACCATGTATTTCCCCTCAGATGACACAAGACATAATTCCTTAGATGACACCAAACGTCATTCAGCAGTTTACAACATGCATTTCCCATCAGATGACACCAGACATGACTCCTTAAATGACAACAAACATCATTCAACAGTTTACACCATGCATTTCCCCATCTGATGACACCAGATATAACTCCTTAGATAAAAACAAACATCATTCAACAGTTTACACCATGCATTTCCCCATCTGATGACACCAGGTATAACTCCTTAGATGAAAACAAACGTCATTCAACAGTTTACACCATGTATTTCCTTCAGATAACACCATTCATTAAACAACAGATCATATCCTTTTTTTGATCTTGAAATATACATGTATATATATATTATAATAATAACTAATAATTGTATTATTTAGTGTTTGATGACAATCCAGAGTTTGGATTTCATTCCAATAAAATATTTGACTTTGACACCATTTCTCAGATGACCTTATACATGACCCATCCAATGAAAGCAAAAATCATTCAACAGATCATACCACGAATTTCCCGTCCCGATGACACTGATCATAAAATATCAAATGACATCACATGATTTTTAGGATAACAACAAACATTAATCTTCAGGTGGACAATTGTTTGTCCTTTTGTCTTTTGACCATAGTGTTGTTTTTATTTCTTAGACTTACATTGTTTGATTATCATTTGGTACTTTCTTACTGTTTTTCATTCATATAACTACACCATATATCACCCACAAGACAACACTAACTCATCACAGGTTCGTATACATCTACATAAACAGAAAATTCCCCCAAAAATTGGTTTATAAGTCAGAGTAAAGCTTGAAAGGTCCTTTATCTTAACATAAATCTAAGGATCATTGGTAATCTAAAAGTTTGGATTGGAGGATACCTGATTAAGATATATTGAATAAACAGCATTTTTACACTAATTAAGTTTGATTCATTATTGGCGGCTCAAGGCATTGTCAGCACAAATGCTATGCCGCAGCAAGTCAAATTCATTGTTTGACTTTGATTTTCTACCCAGTATACAGATTATTTACAGAAATCAGAGGTTTTCATATTTTCCTTTAATGTTAAAAACTATTCCTAACTCTTCAGAGAACATCATACATCACTTGAATTCCACTTATCAACAGATTTGTAATTATCATCAGTAACATGACAATTGACACAAGTGAAGGAAGAACTGCTCACCCTTTGGTACACCAGGATTTACCCCAGATGGTTTGAGAAGAAAGGATCTTTGGAAAAGGTTAACACAATATTAAAATAAGAAGATGTGGTACGATTACCAATGGGACCAGAGACCAATTGACATAGAATGCATACCAAGGGATGCCAATAGCTGACACTGGTCCTTTGGGCCAGGTAAACTAAAGAAATTAACTAGATGCCAATTAATAAATGAATATTTTTACAGTACAGTACCAGGAACTTAAAAGAGACACATCAAAGGACAAATTCATAAGCACTGGATGTTTTTTACCCATGTACATACATGGGGCTCCAGTAGCGTACCCCCTTAGGTCACAAGTTCATGTTTAAAAATTGTGTCAGGTCACCAGGTCATTTTTAAACAAATTTGAAGGCAATGGCAATCCACATAACAAAATTCAAAATATTTTTTTGGTTACAGATCCTTTTAAATGAGACGTCAGGTTGCAAGGTCATCCGCTAAATCCTCCAAAGTCGCAGGTTGGATTTGACCATGTTGGAACCACAAACATACATCACATACATGAAATCAATAACACTGACATGTAGAACTCATGATTTATAATCAAGACAAGATAACAGTTTAAATACCACCTATTGACTTCACTCAATATTCTGTCAATTGATCAAAGGACATTCACTAGAAAAACGTCAGAAAATTATTTACTTATATCTTACTTGAATTTAATTTTATTCAAATAAAACAAATGTCAATATATATACCAACACTACCATTGTAACCAAAATAAAGTTCAAGTCTGAGATAGTAAAATACATCCATACAAACACACGAAGTAAAGATACACTCACACCATGCATAGACCTTAAGAAGGCATCATGAACTACCTTGTAAATATTCAAGATTTGAATTTAAATAGATTATAAGTTTTACTCAGAACAAGGGAGTTTAATCAACACTATTTGTATAATAATTCTTTATTTATTGGAATTAAAAATCTTTATTCATAACACACTTTATCTAAAATTGCATAATTATTTATAAAATAGTGACCTGATAGAATAAATATATACATGACAGTATATACTGGTATCATTAAACAAACTCCTTGAACTTTATTCCACACTTATTCTCTGTTGCTTAGTATTCAATATGGTTGTGATTTTCTTGTCACTGATTTCTTTACTTTCAGCTTGCCCTACAATAAAATTTATATTAATCATTTGTAAACCTTGTTCTCATTCATAAAATTACAGCATACCTACTATAAAAATACAGGTTAAACTTATGAGTCCAAATTCTAAGAAAAATGTTTTAAAACAATGGACTACCCAAGATGCTCTACTTTGTCTGGCAGCAGTAAAAAATTTCTGACAATTCACTTAGTCCATCCAATTTTTAGAATCTTTTTCAATGCTTTATTGTGCAACTAGTTCTCATCATGAATATGCATAAAAAAATCTGGTGATGAAAGTTTACAAACAAGAACGTTTCAAATAACTGACAACTTTGATAATGTTTCAAATAACTGACAACTTTGATAACGTTTCAAATAACTGACAACTTTGATAACGTTTCAAATAACTGACAACTTTGATAACATTTCAAATAACTGACAACTTTGATAACGTTTCAAATAACTGACAACTTTGATAACATTTCAAATAACTGACAACTTTGATAACGTTTCAAATAACTGACAACTTTGATAACGTTTCAAATAACTGACAACTTTGATAACGTTTCAAATAACTGACAACTTTGATAACGTTTCAAATAACTGACAACTTTGATAAGTGTGATAAAAACAAAGTAAAACATAACAGACCATTGAGTATCGAAAAATATGAAACAGAATTAAAGTTACTTTATCTTTCAAATAAAAGAAATGTGGATACTTTCAAATAAAAGAAATGTGGATAAATAAACAAATCATAAAATAAAATTGAGAATGGAAATGGGGAATATGTCAAAGAGACAACAACCCGACCAAAGAGCAGACAACAGCCGAAGGCCACCAATGGGTCTTCAATGCAGCGCGAAATCCGGCACCTGGAGGTGGTCCTCAGCTGGCCCCTAACTAAAATTGTGTGCTAGTTCAGTGAAAATGGACGTCACACTAAACTCCAAAACATATAAATGAACTAAAATTAAAAAACATACAAGACTAACAAAGGCCAGAGGCTCCTGACTTGGGACAGGTGCAAAAATGAGGCGGGGTTAAACATGTTTTGAGAGATCTCAACTATATTGATAAATCTTGCTAAAACATTTCCTTTTAAATAACATCTAGCTGAAGCATAACATGTAATGTTTTCAACATAATATCAAGTGTCGATTACACTCACTGTTCATTGGAAGGACTTAGTACAAAAATAGCTGCATTGTGTCAAATGATTGATTGATTCATTTTTGGTGTCTAACACCACTTTCAGCACAATTGGCAATTTCCTGGCGGCCATTTCTTAGGAAGCCAGAGTCCCACGACAGAACCACCAAACTTTGGTAAGAAAACTGATAATCCAGTCAATTAAGATTAGGGTTGAATGCACCTGCCACGTGTAAGGTTCAAACTCACTATCTGAGTGTTGACAGGCTAGTGATACAGCATATGAACTACTTTTATCACTTGGCCACCCAAGCCCCCACATTGAATCAAAGAAAAAGAGAAACTAATGAAAACTATTTATAATAGTAATTTTTTGATAGGTGCTGCTATACTTTTTTCAGTTGTGACCTCACCTCATATTAGTATTTAGGCTCTTATTATCTTTCACTTCTGAGAGATGATCTAAAAGCTTTTAAAATATCTTCACTCAGTGGTAAGTCTGCATTCAGAACTACAGACAACTGTTCAAATGTTAGCCAATATCTAGTTCTTTTTTATATCAAATTACAGTGGTTAGTATTACTGCAACAGGGAACCACAGATTTTGTATAAAAACCAATGCTTTGAGAACAGTGCACTGCTGAAAACAATTAATTGTAAGTAATGTTCAATGTGAGATTTCAGAATAAGGAAACAAGAAGGGATTTCAAACAAGTATTAAATCACTCTCTCAAATGTTGATATAGACATAGTAAGGATGAGAAGTTTTATATCTTACTTTTGGTTCTTGTTTAGGAATAGTTTTTCTGTGAGACCATAAACACAACATAGAATCTTGACCACCACTTACTAACATGTTTATATCTTACCTTAGGCTCTTGTTTAGGAATAGTTTTCCTGTAAGACCATAAAACACAACATAGAATCTTCACCACCACTTACTAACATGTTTATATCTTACCTTAGGTTCTTGTTTAGGAATAGTTTTTCTGTGAGACCATAAACACAACATAGAATCTTGACCACCACTTACTAACATGTTTATATCTTACCTTAGGCTCTTGTTTAGGAATAGTTTTTCTGTGAGACCATATACACAACATAGAATCTTGACCACCACTTACTAACATGTTTATATCTTACCTAAGGCTTTGTTTAGGAATAGTTTTCCTGTGAGACCATAAACACAACATAGAATCTTGACCACCACTTACTAACATGTTTATATCTTACCTAAGGCTTTGTTTAGGAATAGTTTTCCTGTGAGACCATAAACACAACATAGAATCTTGACCACCACTTACTAACATGTTTATATCTTCCCTGTCATTCCTGTTTAGGAATAGTTTTCCTGTGAGACCATAAACACAACATAGAATCTTGACCACCACTTACTAACATGTTTATATCCTACCTTTGGTTCTTGTTTAGGAATAGCTTTTCTGTGAGACCATAAACACAACATAGAATCTTCACCACCACTTACTAACATGTTTATATCCTACCTTTGGTTCTAGTTTAGGAATAGTTTTTCTGTGAGACCATAAACACAACATAGAATCTTCACCTCCACTTACTAACATGTTATCCTGGAAAAAGTCATATAAGGTGAATTTAACAGATGGCTAGATTCTCATATATTTTTGCATAAATTGCATTTTTCATTCTTACTTCTATTTTTGTAAAAAAAATCCTAATTTCAGAAGTCCAAAACACATTATCTGAGTTGCAAACAGAAAATTATTTATCTGCACTTGGAATAACTTTTCACAAATGTGAGGCAAAGACTGGATGTACGATTCAAATGATAGAATCCTGTAACAATCATTAAATAGCTACTAGGACTTAGACCTTTTTGACCTAGTTATACAAATGCTAATAGGGGTCACCCTCCCTAAAAGGGAAATAGGCCAACCATTTTGATAAACATCTTATTAATGAATCCTAATAAAATTCCATGTAGCCATAAAGAAATGTTGACGCCTTGGTTCCTTCAATTCATTGTGTTACAGACAATGAATGACATGTAGGGAGTCAGCTCTTGTTTTTCTGTTGAATATTAAAAACATGAGGGTAAAACAGGTTTCATGTAATTTTCAAAATAACTTAGAAATAATGGTTAAGATGAACAGAGTTTCTTATTCAAACTCTTAATATTGGTACCGTAATCAAAGTTTGGAAAAAAAGATATTGTTTACGGTTAAAATCGTCTCAAATAATTTATGGCCAGCAGCATGCATCATATTCAGATATTATAAGCCAAGTTCTTTTTTGTTGCAAATCAGCTAAAAAATATATTTTTTTAGTTCTTGTGCTGTACTCTGGATTTTGACTGCTGACATCCCTTTTGACATAAAGTAAATAACCCAGTATCTTCTACTTGTTCTGCATCATTCTGCTGCAGAGTGTTCTCATAAAATGGATCTTAAACTACCTACACTCCATAAACCACATGGATCTAAAACTACCTACACTCCATAAACTACATAGATCTAAAACTACCTACACTCCATAGACCACATGGATCTAAAACTACCTACACTCCATAAACCACATGGATCTAAAACTACCTACACTCCATAAACCACATGGATCTAAAACTACCTACACTCCATAAACCACATGGATCTAAAACTACCTACACTCCATAAACCACATGGATCTAAAACTACCTACACTCCATAAACCACATGGAACTAAAACTACCTACACTCCATAAACCACATGGAACTAAAACTACCTACACTCCATAAACCACATGGATCTAAAACTACCTACACTCTATAAACCACATGGATCTAAAACTACCTACACTCTATAAACCACATGGATCTAAAACTACCTACACTCCACAAACCACATGGAACGAAAACTACCTACACTCCACAAACCACATGGATCTAAAACTACCTACACTCCATAAACCACATGGAACTAAAACGACCTACACTCCATAAACCACATGGATCTAAAACGACCTACACTCCATAAACCACATGGATCTAAAACGACCTACACTCCATAAACCACATGGATCTAAAACGACCTACACTCCATAAACCACATGGATCTAAAACGACCTACACTCCATAAACCACATGGATCTAAAACGACCTACACTCCATAAACCACATGGATCTAAAAATACCTACACTCCACAAACCACAAGGATCTAAAACTACCTACACTCCATAAACCACATGGATCTAAAACTACCTACACTCCATAAACTATAAACCACTTGGATCTAAAACTACCTACACTCCATAAACCACATGGATCTAAAACTACCTACACTCCATAAACCACATGGATCTAAAACTACCTACACTCCATAAACTATAAACCACATGGATCTAAAGCTACCTACACTCTATAAACACCATGGATCTAAAACTACCTACACTCCATAAACCAAATGGATCTAAAATGACCTACACTCCATAAACCACATGGATCTAAAACTACCTACACTCCACAAACCACATGGATCTAAAACTACCTACACTCCACAAACCACATGGATCTAAAACTACCTACACTCCACAAACCACATGGATCTAAAACTTCCTACACTCCACAAACCACATGGATCTAAAACTACCTACACTCCATAAACCACATGGATCTAAAACTACCTACACTCCATAAACCACATGGATCTTAAACTACCTACACTCCATAAACAACATGGATCTAAAACTACCTACACTCCATAAACTATAAACCACTTGGATCTAAAACTACCTACACTCCATAAACCACATGGATCTATAACTACCTACACTCCATAAACCACATGGATCTATAACTACCTACACTCCATAAACCACATGGATCTAAAACTACCTACACTCCATAAACCACATGGATCTAAAACTACCTACACTCCATAAACCACATGGATCTAAAACTACCTACACTCCATAAACCACATGGATCTAAAACTACCTACACTCCATAAACCACATGGATCTAAAACTACCTACACTCCACAAACCACATGGATCTAAAACTACCTACACTCTATAAACCACATGGATCTAAAACTACCTACACTCTATAAACACCATGGATCGAAAACAACCTACACTCCATAAACCAAATGGATCTAAAACGACCTACACTCCATAAACCACATGGATCTAAAACTACCTACACTCCATAAACCACATGGATCTAAAACTACCTACACTCCATAAACCACATGGATCTAAAACTACCTACACTCCATAAACCACATGGATCTAAAACTACCTACACTCCACAAACCACATGGATCTAAAACGACCTACACTCCATAAACCACATGGATCTAAAACTACCTACACTCCATAAACCACATGGATCTAAAACTACCTACACTCCATAAACCACATGGATCTAAAACTACCTACACTCCACAAACCACATGGATCTAAAACTACCTACACTCCACAAACCACATGGATCTAAAACTACCTACACTCCATAAACAACATGGATCTAAAACTACCTACACTCCATAAACCACATGGATCTAAAACTACCTACACTCCATAAACAACACCTAACAGTTGATGTATGTCCTCCTATTAGAGACTGGACAACTGTTGGGGAATCTCCAGAAACATCCAAAACTCTCAATGATCCACTGAAAAGAAAAAAAAAAGAACTGTGTTTAAAATACTCAAGAAAATGATCTACTCTGTAAAAAACAGTGTGTTTCTAATAAAATAAAGAGTGATTATAGGTATTCTTCTTTTACTTAATTATTTCATGAGATTATTGTTGAATTTCTATATTTAGCAACTAGGTTGCCTTCATCAATGACAGTCATATTTATTGCATTTGGAGTCATAAACAATTACAAATAAATGACATCATTTTTTCAAAAGTTTCAAACATGTTCTATTTTTTTCCCAGATTTTTGGGGAAAGTAATAATTTTTTGTATGACGACCATTCTTTTAATCATATTTTTATGGAGATCATATATGTATCACTTCCCTTAACTTTCATGGCAATTTACCCTATACTGGATTTTGCCAAAATTTTCAAGTCAGAAAACTATTTAAAAATCCACCTACGTTTTTGCAAGAAAATGGACAAATGTTGCCTTTCACTGAAAATATTAGTAAAATTATTGTGCTGTCAAGGCTACTCAATCTCTAGTTTTTAGGTTTGTTTTATATTGAACTCATTGTGTTGTTGGGTTGTTGTCTCATTGTCTCATAAGCCATATCTTGTTTGATGCAGATGGAACCCAACAAAAATAGTTTGCTTTACTTTGACATGATTGACCATGTTGACAGACAAAATGATGATCGATTTGGATAGTGTTCTTAAATTCTTTGGTGTCAAAATTTTTATCAGAAAAAATATTACTGATAGTAGAAAACCAGGCCTGTATAACACAAAAAAATCTAGAACAGATTGATCATAAGTATACTGAATTGTTCATGATCTAAGATCAATTTAAGTCATAAGACTTTTTTGGGAAACAAGGGCCTGATAAAACAGGATAGGAAATATCCAGAAGAGAAAAAATGATATATTTCTTACCTATGTGTTCCTGCCACTAGATGGAGCTTGTCATTATAAAAATTTACCTAGGTGTTCCTGCCACTAGACGGAGCTTGCCATTAACAAACTTACCTGCAAGTTCTTGCCACTAGATGGAGCTTGTCATTAACAAATTACCTATGTGTTCCTGCCACTAGATGGAGCTTGTTATAAAAAACTTACCTATGTGTTCCTGTCACTAGATGGAGCTTGCCATTAACAAACTTACCTATGAGTTCCTGTCACTAGATGGAGCTTGTCATTAATAAACTTACTTATGTGTTCCTGCCACTAGATGGAGCTTGTCATTAACAAACTTACCTATGTGTTCCTGTCACTAGATTGGATCTTGTCATTAACAAACTTACTTATGTGTTCCTGTCACTAGATTGGATCTTGTCATTAACAAACTAACCTATGTGTTCCTGTCACTAGATTGGATCTTGTCATTAACAAACTTACCTATGTGTTCCTGTCACTAGATTGGATCTTGTCATTAACAAACTTACTTATGTGTTCCTGTCACTAGATTAGAGCTTGTCATCAACAAACTTACTTATGTGTTCCTGCCACTAGATGGAGTTTGTCATTACCAAACTTACCTATGAGTTCCTGTCACTAGATGCAGCTTGTCATTAACAAACCTACCTATGTGTTCCTGCCACTAGATGGAGCTTGTTATAAAAAACTTACCTATGAGTACCTGCCACTAGATGGAGCTTGCCATTAACAAACTTACCTATGAGTTCCTGTCACTAGATGGAGCTTGTCATTAATAAACTTACTTATGTGTTCCTGCCACTAGATGGAGCTTGTCATTAACAAACTTACCTATGTGTTCCTGTCACTAGATTGGATCTTGTCATTAACAAACTTACTTATGTGTTCCTGTCACTAGATTGGAGCTTGTCATTTACAAACTTACTTATGTGTTCCTGCCACTAGATGGAGCTTGTCATTAACAACCAATCCATCTATCAGATATTCAATGGAGTCTTTTCCCTAGAAAAACAGAAATGCAATAAAGAGGAAATTATGTTTCTATGGTATTAGTAAAACTTGGTTGCTTTTATTGTTTAACAAAGTTATTGATATCTACAGATCTTTTATGAAGAAGCATCTTGGAAGTTTCCCAAAATTCCATGATGGTCTGGTGTTATGAAGAACCATTTTTGCAAGTTTCCCAAAATTCCAAGATGGTCTGACAAAGTTATTGATGTCTAGAAAAAGTGTTGAGGATGTCAGAATGAAGGATTGCTAAAATTTGCTTCTGTGACTTTTTCATAGGATCAACAATAAAAGGATATGAGATAGACAGTAGACTAACAACACAAACCAAAGGACAACTATAGGTCTTCTTACAGTGGTGAGCAAAAATCAAACCAAGTAGCAATAATAATATTCATGGCATTCAAAAGATATGAGTCAGACACAACTCTGTACAATCGAACCAAGGAGGTTTGTAAAGTTGAACTTGTTCATCAACAGCCACCAATATCGGAAGGCATGAGATCAGCAGGTTAAATATTTGAAGTAATTACATGCTTTGTGATACTGGTTTTTTTCTGTTACAGTACCGATTTTTATTATAAATTCTTTTAAATTACAAAGAAACAAGAATGTGTCCATAGTACACAGATGCTCCACTTGCACTATCATTTTTTATGTTCAGTGGACCGTGAAATTGGGGTCAAAACTCTACTTAGACATTAAAATTAGAAAGATCATATCATAGAGAACATGTGTACTACGTTTCAAGTTGATTGGACTTCAACTTCATCAAAAACTACTGTGACCAAAAACTTTTAACCTGAAGAGGGACAGACAGACGAATAGACGTACAAATGGACCGAAAAACATAATGCCCCTCATTGGGGCATATAAAAACAGCATAGATTTTTTTAAAACTAGGTTTTAGGTAAAATAATTCACTTAACTAACAGTGGTTACTTTGAAGCAGAATTGACACAAGAAGGAAGCATTTTAAACAGGATGTCCAAAGAAACTTTCACACACCAGAAAAGCTCCATGTATACAATGGTTTATTGACAGAAGTGAATGATAAATGATAAAACATAGATAGCCATACCAAATTTTGATTCATATAACAAAAATCTTTAAACTTGGTGTGATGTATAAATTTCTTCCAAGTTTGATCACATTTGGTTCATTGATCTTCTTTATACCAATATAGTTGATCATGAAAAAGCTTCTGTATAAGTTGTGTTACTATCCATGAAGGTTTGACAAAGTTTGTCCCATATGTATACCTTCTTTGTTATTTTTTTTTGTAAGTAAAACACCCTCAATTACTATCAAAGTAAAAATTTCTCATATATCTATTATATAAATTAACTAATAAAATATACATGATTTATATCTAGTATACAGAACCTTGGGAAATAAAGGTACATTTACCTATCTGATATCACTATGCATTATGAAATTTTATCTATAGTGATTATTGGAATTAGTTATCAAAATAGCTTATTCATCCGATTTCATGACAATACTGAATTCAACAGCATTAAACTATGTCATATCTCTGTCCCAGGCATTTCAATATTTAAATCAATTTATTAAAGTGGTATGTCATTATATCTTTTAAAATCTATACAATTTTGGCCAGAAATAAACATCAAACACAGACCGCTTCCATATCAAAATCTGTATCATATTTCCTTTTGATAAAATGGAAATTCCATAGACATGACTTAAATTTATCTTCCAGAGAATGTTACCCTGAAAAGTGTCTCAAACAAATACTCGACCTAGCATGAAAAAAAGGAATAAGAATTCTGCTCAGTTATGTTCAAAACTATTTCTTTCCTTTCTTCACAAAAATCTTTGAAAAGTGATAAGAAGAAGTGATCTATGAGACAATATCTGCACAGCTTTGGACTTGTCAAAATGTTTGACGTTGTGATAAGAAAATTAGGTTTGAATGTGTGTCTGTGTGTCTGTGTTTGAGTGGTGGTATTCAAAAATATAAAAATAAAATGCTCAGCTGGGCGCAGCTTGATACGACCGCAGAGGTCGAACCCTGAACAGTTGGGGCAAGTATGGACGCAACATTCAAGCTTGATACAGCACTGAATTTGGATTGTGATTAAATATTTGACACAGCATAGGTTTCTGACACAGAATGAATGTGGTCTAAGAACTTAAAAAAATTTAATTTACCCATTCAAACCATATCATTATTATTTGCTTTTATATATAAATCAGAAATAACCAATTTAAAATGGAAAATTTTAAAGAAAAAAAAATCCCTCCCCCAAATTTTTTGAACCCCCTTATGATTCATCACCCCCAAACTCAATCCCAGCCTTCCCTTTGTAGTATGGTACCTTGCAGTACAATTTCAGAGGGATCCATACACTTGAACACAAGTTATTGTCTGGAAACTAGAAAAATGCTTGTTTTTAGGCCCCTTTTTGGCCCCAAATTCCTAAACGTTTAGGGCAATTACCCCCAAACTCAAACCAAGTTTTCCCTTTGTGATCTGGAACCTTTTAGTACAATTTCATAAAGATCCATACAGTCTTACACACAAGTTATTGTCTGGAAACTAGAAGAATGTTTATTTTTGGCCCCTTTTTGGCCCCCTTTTCCTAAACGTTTTGGACAATTAACCCCAAACTCAATTCCAGCTTTCCCTTTGAGATATGGAACCTTGTAGTACAATTTCAGAAAGATCCATACACTAACACACAAGTTATTATCATGAAACAAGAAAAATGCTTGTTTTTGCCCCTTTTTTGGCCCCTTATTCCTAAAATTTTCAGGCAATTACCACCAAAATCAATTCCAGCATTCCCTTTGTAATATGGAACCTTGTGGTACAATGTCAGAGAGATCCATACACTAACACACAAGTTATGTCTGGAAGTTACAAAAATGCTTATTTTTGGCCCCTTTTTGGCCCCTAATTCCTTAACTGTTGGTACCATAACCTCCAAAATCAATCCCAACCTTCCTTTTGTGGTATTGAACCTTATGGTAAAATTTCATAGAGATCCATTCACTTAAACTAAAGTTAGAGTGCGAAACTCAATGTGTCTTCGGACGATGACACCAACGTCATACCAATATACGACCGCAAAATCATGTCTCTTCAACCGTATTAGTGAAAACAGGAATGACCTATAAATCTATGTTAACTTCTTCAAATGATGTATTGTAAACAGACTAAAATTAGGAAAAAATAAATGGAGAATGTGTCCATTAGGCACAGATGATGCCCCTGCTTGCATAAAATGTTATAGGTTACACTTCTGTAAATATAGACAATGCAATTTCCCAAAGGAACTCCTTTTACGGCTAAAACTGTGCCACTTTTACTATGAAGTTTCGTAAAAAAAATATATCCTAGAATGGAAAGTTCATATTGTGCTACAATTTTTTTTGAAAGGTCAAAATATAGGGCTGTGCGGCATATTTTCAACATTTATATGCCCCGATCTTCTAAGAGTTTAAACATATACTAAAATTCTGTACTACCCCTGCCTTCACTTTTGGTCCTCCTCAGAATTAAATTTTGCCGCTATCCATGTGTATTTATACTGGTAACATTACCAAGTTATGTCTCTATGAGATGAAACATAGAGATCATATCTGGGAACCAGTATGTAAACAAAACAAAATATCGATGAATACTATATATCTCCCCAAAAGAGGCATGGTTTGTGAAACAGCTGTATTTACAAAGTGCAACCTATAAAGGGGCATAACTCGAGAACGGTAAAAGTGACACTACCCAAATTCGAACTTGGTCTGTGTTTTGAGGTAAAAAGCATTGTGTATGAGTTTCATAACATTTGGTGGAGGCAAACTAAAGTTAGAACGGAAACCAATTTCAGGCATACCAACGGACAAGGGTAACACTTAATGTCCCCTCCTGTGACGGCAGTGGCATAAAAAAGCTTGAATGTGAAAAAAAAATTTAATCAGAAAACCATGAATTTTTAAAATAATGTTCCAATAAACCACGAAACTGATACCAACATATTAGTCTCCTTTCCCAGTATTCTGGAAAATATTGCAATTTTCAAAGTTAACAAAGGGACATCAACAAACAACAGAAAACAGACAATACCCCACACTGGTCATGTGAGGTACAAATGAAATAAAATATGAAAAGAGTTTGCATAACAAAGGCACACCATAAATGCTAACACACAAAACATTTCTAAGATGCAACTAAAGTAAAAAATATAATTATAAAAATCTGATGAAATTTCAGTGGTAAAGGGTTAACTTTCTATTTTAATAATCAGCCATTTTATTTTAAAAATTATATTCATGAAAGAAATAGACAAACATGACCAAAAAAAAAAAAAAAAATTAATATTCAACAAACTGCTTATTCTCACTTACATCAGGTAGATGTTGAGTACCGGTATGTGTCAATGAGACAGAAACCTAACAAAACAATTAAATAAGAAAAAAGCATTTAAAGTCTAGGTTCTAATCAGAAATTAGAAAAAAAGTCTCTGTAGAAAACATGCATGAGTGAAAAATTTACTTAAACCTAACAGTTTAAGTCCTGTAACTCTGGAAAGGCAAACTGGAAATTTATCAAAATTGAAATGGAGGTTCCTTTTATCAATCCCAACAATAGAATAATGTTTTAAGGACAGCAATTCATCGCATACTGGAGTTAGTGCGCACTTTAGTGAAATAAATGGAGAATGTGTCCAAGGGACACAGATCATGCCCTCGCTTGCATATAACGTAAAAAATTCAAAGTTGATCTGAGTTTTGTGGTAATAAGTATTGTGTATAAGTTTCATAACATTTGGTTGAGGCAAACTTAAGTAAGAGAATGGAAACCAAAAATTCAGTAATTTTTCCATTTGTAAAGGGGCATAACTCTAGAACAGTAAAAGTGACGCCACCCAAATTCAAACTTGATCTGTGTTTTGTGGTAATAAGCATTGTGTATAAGATTCATAACATTTGGTTGAGGCAAACTAAAAGTTAGAGAACGGAAACTAATG